CACAAACCTTGCCTGGAGCTGAGGGTCCTTTGGGACCTCCACTGGTTAGATATAAATAGACCATGAGCTGGCTAGCTCATAAATACCTGTGCTCCAGTAGAATGATGACATCTCCTGTCTGGCCTACAACCCACACACAGGCCACACAAACACCTCAAAATAACGACAGTGACAAAGGCATTCTCATTCAGCGTTACCTTATGCAAATTACACTGGGAGTCATTTGAGCTCTCAGACATACAGAGGCTGTCTACAGGTGCATAAATCATTTCTTTGTTCAATAACAGCAAGTTAACTTTCAAAAAAAAAACTTTGTTAAAGCTCTTTTGTTGCTCTTTAAATATTCATAATTTTGGCTGGTTGGGTGAATTTGAGGGATTTTGAGAGTCATGCCATGAAGATTGTAAATGAACTTCACTAGCGCTTCTAGTCTTCTGACCACTCAACTGTAATAACCCCTTTAATATCCACACTCTGAACTCAGGATCAATTTGAGGTTCAGTGTATTGCCCAAGGACACTTTCACAAGTTGACTGCAGGAGCTGGGATCAAACCACCGACATTGCAATAATCTTATTTACCGCTGATCCACAGCCACCCCAGTGCAAGAGATGTTTAACTTGGAGATACTTGAGTATGCTGTGATGGTAAATCTTACTAACCATGTTGTTATTGCAGGGCCCTGGTTTGTGTTGCGGTGAAAGATAAATGAAACATTTTAGTATTCAGTAGAGCACCAGTGGTTAAACAACGGCAGGAAAAAAAGCCTAACTCCCAAACACAAACAAAACCTTTCAATTGTGAGCTCCCTACATACCCATTCTGTTAAACAGCGAGTCTTGTTAAGAGACAAACAGCAGCATTTGATGAACAGAGACTTGTGAAAATTGATTTGGTGAGTGTATCAGTGAGGATTGCACACTGTCATTTAGTGGTGTAAACAAAGTGTTGGGATGATATGCTGTGAAATGGAAATCTATCCATGGCTGAGGACATCTCACATCTCACAGGCATGACAGGACTGTCAACACGTCTCCACACTTGACCAAGATCAAACATTCGACAATACCAATCAGCACTTAAGTAGTGCTGTTATGTTATTAGGAGTGAGAATGTGGCATTTTTAGCCAACGGGAGTTTTCAATAAGCTCTCAGAGGCTAAACACCTAAAGTGAATCAGTGACGAGCCTGCAATCAATGTTGCTTGAACCATTAAAAGATCCTTTATCATATGAATACTTCTTTTTTTTATATACATTGCACATTTATTGTATAGATAGAACAGTCATAGAGTCAGAAAGGAGAGAGTAAATGACATGTGGGAGCCACAGGTCGGATTTGAGCCCGTCTGGAGGACCACATGGGGTGCACACACTTAACCAATAACTTTACAGTCCTGTAAAAACTACACCCATTTCACCCTACTCAGCTGAAGTCTGCTGGAGCTAGACTGAGAATAACCTTAAGTCCTCAAACTCTGTCGAAAGAATACAGATGGCAGAGGGGTGAAATCCCTCCTTTGGGATTCAGAAGAAAGACAAAAAGAGCCCTGTCCAAATGTCAAATAACATCCAGTCTCTGTCCTTCCACACAGTCCTCAGATGAGGTCTAAGAAGGCAAACCGTGAGAAAACACCTGATCTGCCGTATGCAGGCTGCTAGCAGCCTTTACCGTGTTTCAGACTGCAAATTGATGTCACTGATTTGCTTGATCACAAATGGCTTTTGATGAAAAGGCTATTTTTAAGTGTTTAAAGTATAAAGTTGGCCTTCAGCTTAAAGCTCAGATTCAATCAACTTAATGAATAATTATCAAAGGAACACCTTTCAGGCTCCCCTAAAATGAATGTCTCGAAATGTCGGCGGAAAGGACTTTTGTCTAATTACCTTTTACTACAAGCATTGGTGTAATGCATGCTATACGCAGGTATATGGAGTACACCCACTTATTTTTCGGTCTCCATGGGGTATATGCACTTCCAAAACCCCTCTGAATCCCACTAATAATTGATTGACAATATTCAGTATATATGCAGAATTTATGATGAAGGGATTACCTTCCCTAATCTGTTTCTAACTAGTACACACTAACTTAATATGCAGGAGTAGTCTCACATATCACTCTTTATAACAGAGGCCGTTTATTCCCTGCTGGACGGGCCACTTAAATAACAGTTGCAGTAAAAATTAAGAGAACAGTATACCCACTTATTAAGACACCACTACACCACTGACTAAAAATAGCAGCATGTCTTACACTGTATATCTGTCTCCATATATGAAGGAAAATGTAAAAACTCATCTCTCATGAAAAAAATGATAAATTGAATTATCTGTCAGAATCCCAGCCTGCATGTTGAAAATGATTGTCCTGATAATACTGATTCACATGCACAAATGGTGAAACCTCTAAAAACACTGTGGCTGGCAAAAGTTGCAGAGTCAACCTTTTTTTTTGGCTGCTCTGTATCAGCTGATTGATTGACAGCACACTGCTGAACTCTCTGTATTCCTCCTTCATCCAAAGCAGTGTTGGTGATATTGCTGCTCTGTGGGGGGCACCAGAGAGAGTAAAAGCTTTGATCAGCCATCCACATAAATCCATGCAAAGGGTTGCATTATTTTCATGATGATTTCACAGCCAGACTCCTTTGAGACCTGCAGTCTCTAAGTGTAACAGCCCCGATTTCTTCTCTGTGCTCGTGGCTGCCTTCAAACTTTTAAACATCCAGCAGTGTCTCAGTAAGATGCATTGACCAACTTAAATTTACATGTGGTGCTTTCATTCGACTCAGGGGGGATTTGCTCTTATGATTTTCCCTGGCTGAATCTCTCCGTCAAGAAAAACAATCCAAAAATTGTCAGAAGTATGAAACAAAGACATCATCTCCCTTTTTCCTGGGTATAAGCAATCTCTTGCACAGGGTTATTCTACAAAGGCTCAAGGAATCAGGTAAGCAAATAAGATTTGTGAATGTTCATTATAATAAATATAACATTGACTTCATAAGGGAGGGAAAAGGGGGGGAAGCAAAGATAATTGAACGAGATGTATTGATGGGGAAAAAAAGCTTGTTCCAACCTGGCAGTGAGAGAGTATAGAGCTTTGTTAATAACTGTCTGTGATCCCAGCTGGGTTGATACGAGGGATTGTCTGTTATGTTGCTCGGAGAGAAAGCACAAAGGCGAGTCAAGCAAAAGGTGATTGGTTTCTTTGTTCTTCTAACAGCTGACGTCTCGTCCGTTTATTTCTTATTTATTTTGCCAAATCCCCAATCTCTGGCGTTTGATTGTGTTTAGAAGCCTCGAGCTTGACTAAAATATCTGTGTGTAATGCTTTAGGGTCTTGTCCAAAGCCTTCCAATGTATCATATTTGTACTGTGCCTGAGCAGGACATTAAGGATGAACTGGATCTCAACGGAAATTAGGAGGAAATTTGCAAAGATTAGAGCCTCTTTAGCAATGATTCAAACACCAATGTGCAAAACAAGCAAAGTCTTGTAATATTTTGAAATAATCTAAGAGACAAATTGGGTTGCATCATTGAGCTATTAAGGTACCACTGAAACCTCAGCAGGTCCCTTTCCATGTGATCTCACTTATCTTCAGCTTTACCATTCTGAGCTGCAGCGCTCTGTGGTAGACAGCGACGACAGCAATAGCGCCGCTGAGGTCCCAGACCAGTCAATATGAGAGACTAAAGTCTGATTCAAAGCAGGCATCAGTTCAATCATTCAATCTGTGGCGGAGAAAAACACAGAGTGAGCCTGTTATGTAGCATCTGTCTCTGAGTACAGGGAGTAGCATCGCTCTTATTGAACTGAGAGAACAATAAAATATAACCTGGGGGGCAGATCCCTCTGTGTCCGGCACAATCAATAAAGCTATTTTAAACCACATGCTGCAGCTGCGTGTGTGCACGTGGAGCCATGGCTTACACACACACACACACACACACACACACACACACACACACACACACACACACACACACACACACACACAAAGATAATCTGTGGCCATTCCTCCACACAAACACTTATTGCCAGTTTATGCAAAATAAATGCACATGGAGGAACACAGTAAGACATATGCATTGGACCACTCACTGTTTCACACTATACACAACATACACACACCAGTATACCGCACAAAACAGTTGTAGGGCATGTGCATTTAATTGAGTAATAAACGTAAAGTGCAAACAAACACAGACACACTCTCAATTAAAGAATGTGGTATTTGTAATCATAACCTCTAATTGTTTGTGCCTAAACTGCACTGCACAAAACGCACAGCAACTGCACAAAACAAACTTGCACATTTGCACTCACACACTCTTCAGGCAGACAAGCACACGCGCTTTCTCTGTCACCCACTTAATGATTCAATCTGTGGCTGCTGTGTCTGTCTGTGCTTGTGTGTATAGAGAATGTGTAATTAAAGCAGCCTCAGGGGTTGACACTTACGCAACTGATTTCCGTAAAGCCTGTTTTTCTTTTTTAATATCTGAGCCAGGGTTTGTACACAGAGATAAGTTGAGGAAATCTGTTCAACTTTCCTGAGAAATAAAACTTTAAACCTTGGGCTGGAGTCTGTCTCGGTGCATTTCTGTGGAAACAACCAGCTAAATACATCCGAATTTAAACTGACATAAATGAGAAATAAAAATAAGTTTCTATGCACAAATGGTAGAAATGATATCCTATGTTATTTAACTAGAATGTGTGTCATGTGCTTTGCTCTAAACAAAGACAAAAAACGTCACATTTGATGTTACAATTTTTGCGCATTAATATTTGTAGTGAATGACCATTTTTTTTCGATTAGCCAACTCAAACTGGCATATGGATACTCGTTTTAAGGTTGCATTTGGAAGTGTCTTACTTCTTACAGCAATATTAGTGCGGTATCCTTAAGTGGACACTGTCAAAGTCATAAAATGAGAAATAAGTTGGAAAGCAGTGCCAGAGAAATCATACTGTCAGGTATAGACTCACCTTGGTTGCAATGGCTGTAGCGAGAGAGAAAAATTCCAAGAAAGAGTGAAACGAGGAAAAATCTGTTTCCAAAACTCATGTCTGCTGCTACATCTATCCCCGGCTTTATCAGGTACTTCTAGCCGAGAGGTAACGGGGTCAGAGAGAGTGCGGCTGGATCCTCCACAAGCACCGATCCGCTGGTCCTGGTCCTTACATTTGGCCCGGGTTGTAGAGAACTGCCGGCTGAGGGAACAAGAGGAGATCCATCTCTCACCTTGGAGGCAGCGGTGGCGACTGCGCGGAGCGGAGAAAATTTAGGGGGAAGCAGCAAAAAATATTAGAAGTTAAAGCAAATGTACAGACAAAGTAAGAGGCTCTAGCTCCAACAACTTTGTTAATTTCCCACGGACTTCAGTCGCCAATATTGCATTGTTTTTGAAGCTGCACAAAAATATGTTTTTGTCAAAAGAAGTGCGTCCACTTGGCGCAAGTAGTCGTGACAGGCTTTAGGAATTCCTGGTGTTGGTTCGGCAGTGCGGCTTGAACTCTCAGCTCCTGTCTCCAGCCCGATCCGCTGCATGCAGCAGAGAAGGGGGAAGGTGGATGGAGAAAAGATCGGGATGCAGCGGAGGAGAAAGTGAAGCGGCGGCTTCAGAGGGAAACTGTGCGCATCTGTGCAGGATGCTCGGCACTAGAGGGGGTTAGCTGACAAGGCAATGGCGTGTGTGTGTGTGTGTGTGTGTGTGTGTGTGTGTGTGTGTGTGTGTGTGTGTGTGTGTGTGTGTGTGTGTGTGTGTGTGTTTTTTCTCATTGGTTCAAGTGCAGGGCTTCCCAAGTTTTTCCTCAAGGACTTCAAAATGCATAAATAGAGCCGTGTCGTTCCGTGACTTTATTCTGAACAGGTAAAATCTCGTCTGGACATTCCCTTGTTTCATATTTTAGTGCTAATCATAATAAATAGTTTTCATTTCTTGTACATGGTTTGGTGAATTAAATTATGCCTATTCGCATATACTCGCTGGTGACCTGTGAATTGAATTAAATGAACCATAAAAACAGAACATTTACTGTAATATTTTGTTGCTCCTTAATTTGAGCCTCTTTCCAGATGTAGAATTTACATTGAAGTAGTAAATCTGGACTTCGGCAGACTAATCTGGGGACAAATCTTTGGATACCCTTTCTAAGTGAATAATGGATATTAAATATGTCATTATGTGTAAAAAAAAAAAAAAATCTGATTTCAATTTCATTGCAAGTCACCAAACTGACACCTACCAAGGGACAACCACAATAACATGAACACAATATTTTCAGGATGGATTTTCTATTTCCATCAAGCCCCATCAATCAGGCCTATGATAATATGCATCTGTAAACTGTTCTCAAACGCTGAACACAAGATGGTTATTTATTCCAGTGTTTTTAAAGACGTATAAAGGTTACATTTTACAGATATTAACATTTGAATAACCATTATTGTGTAAATTATCCATCATTCAGCATGTCCGACCATCAAACCTTGTCTCAGTAGAAAGGTAGCTTTCAGATCCACCAATTAGCAGTGCAACAGTAAGCTTCTCTGCTTGCCAAGCCGCCAATGTCAGCCAAGATTAGGGAAGGTCTTCCTCTCATCTTCATGGACGTCTCATCGAGTGAGTAAGCAAACCCTCCCCAACCTGACCGGGTTAAACAAAGCAACGTTGCTGTGATGAGACCCAGTCAATCAGGACACAGGAACAGCTTCCTGTCAGCGTCGAGGAGGTAAATACATCAACATCACAATCCGTCAGCACCACTTAGCTGCCAGCCAATCACCAAACAATGCGGAAAAGCTGAGGACTGACTACTGACTTTGTGCGCTGTGATGTGCAAACATATTGGAGGACGGTGGGTTGTAGAGAAGAATATATTGACCACAGTTTGCATCTGTTGTAGTTGGAGGGAGGCCGCACACTCTTCAGAAATGGATCAAGCTATTAATGTCACTGCGCAGATGTATTACAGCTATAAATAGACAGATAAACATTGTCATACATCTCACTGAATAGGGAGGTTATAGACATTTTACACTGACGTCTACTGTATATTTTCTACTAGAAATTTTACATCAGCCACTAATGTATGCCTTTATACCTCAACAGTATTATATTTAATGTAATAATATGCATGGAATTTTTTAATTTCAATATATTTACTTCATACTCTTTTTGTGTGATTTGTATCCATTTTATTCTAATATATCCAACTAATGCTATTACTAAAGGTGCAAAACAGATAATAATACATGTGACATCTCACATCGGTGATTACTGAGAATTATGACCAAAGATTACGAACTGTTGAGAGTACAAGACCTCTTTTTCCATCCCCCTGCGATGATCTGGTTTCTTTTGCTGTAATGTTGGTCAATGGTGTGTGACTGTAGTGTGAAGGGGGCCTAAATGTGAGCTATGATTCCCTGTGTCCAGAGAGAACACGCTCTGTCCATCTGTACTCATCCCAAGCACAGAGCTGGAACGAGACCACATCAGCACAACTGACAGAGACAATGAGACTTTATAACACTAATGGTTTCACTAATGTCCTGTTCACAGTGAAGTGGCAGCCCATACAGAACTGCCCCGCTGTGGATGAAATCCAAATTGTTCTCAACTATAGAACATTTTCACCCCAAATGCCTTTAACACTGTTGATAGGGATCCTGCTTTGATGGGTTTAATACATCATATTGTTTAGTAGTGCATTATGACAGCAATGTTGTTGCTGGCTGGCTGGATGGATGAATGAATGGATGAAAAGTCTGTGTTTCACCAGGAGATGGTAAAAGGTAAATGGACTTGAGCTTGTGCTTTTCTTGTCTACTGACACCACAGGTCACATTCACACATTAATGGCATTAAATCAAAACAGAAATTGTGTCATGAAAGTTAGGTAAAAAACTGGTCAGGAACATACTCTTTGTGCTGTTCATTTCCAGAAACATTTGTACAGAGCCAGAAAGAGGACTAGAGCAGACAAAAAGACTGAGATGGATAGAGACAAGCTAACAGGCACAGACAGGTAGACATAAAGAAAACAACAACCATAACAAAAAAAATAATACTGCAATAGCATGGCCCATAAAAGTGGTAGGATATGACGAAAGTTATCGAAATAAAACTCTAAAAATGACAGCATGTCTGTAACATCAAGCAGTCCTCAACAGTGAACCACCAGAAACTGTGAGAAAAAGGTGCAGACAATTCCCAGAAAGTCATATTGGTCACATTCATGAAAGCATCAATATAGATGAAGATGACAAGATATGAGCCTGGTCATTCAAGTACCTGAGCAGTGTGAGCCTATAGCAGCACAACTAAGGGGCTGGTCCAAGCCAGAGCAAACCCTGACTAGATGTTTTATCAGGAAAGTTTGAAGCCCATTCTTAGAGAACAGAGGGCGTCTGTCTCCTGGACCCCAGTGTGAGTCCAAAGGAGAGGGAAGTCATAACTGAAAGCTTTGCCTGCCATATTACTTTGAGAGACTTAAGGTAGCACGAGTAGGCCTGCATTCTGGGAGTGCAATGTTCTAGTACGGTATAAGGGCACTGTGAGCACTACAAGACATGATGGTTATCCCTTAATGTTTCCTTAAGACCTATAATCTAATGAAAAAATTAGTTATCCAATTCTGTGGGTTCTACTAAAAGATTGAAAAACGGACTCAAACTGTTTTTTTTTTGCTGTTCTCATCAGCATGTTGGCATAGCTATTGTCAGCCGGATCACCTATTACAAATCATTTTATTCTTTCCACTGAAACACAGGTGAATGTGAAAAGTTGTGAAGATGTAGATGATGGCTGATGTTAACGAAAAGGAGAGCTGACATCCTGAGGGTGCGAGACACAGCTAAGACCAGAGCATTTTCTCAAATTTATTTTTAAAAGATATAGAATTTTGCAAATAATTCTTGGAACAAATCTGCTCAGGCGCAGTAGGAGTTTTACTTTGATGAGGTCGTAAGGCTTTTAATGAAGAGTCTGTGGTTTTTAATCACTTTTAAAGTGGGCATTATGGGATGAACTTTATTGCAAAAATACAACTCTGAGGGAATCCATTAACATTCTTACAGGACAACAGACTAATTGTCGATAAAAAGGCTGAAGAGTTGTATTGGACACATTTAAATGCCAGACTAAGTGGAACTCTTGAAGATTCAGGTCAAGTTAAGATACAGTCGTAAACCGTCTGTGAAGCTGAGTAGTTAAGGATAAAGAACAGAAGTGTAATGTTCAGCGCAGGCAAATTAAAATTGAGACCTGAATCCTTGTTTTAATTAATCAATACTCAATTTAACTGTTTACAAAGAAAAAAAGTTAAGTTAATTTGCTGATTCGATTTGTGAATTACCACTATATCATTCACTCAGCGATGATTGAGTAGAGATAACATTTTGAGACTCAAAGGGTTTACGCCTCCACAGTACTCGTTTTCCAATTTTGATTATTGCATTGGCCTTGAGGGGACTCTCGTTTATCTATGTAAAGCTTCAGTCTGTTGCACAGGGTGAGGGTGACATTGAATATTTAAATAGCACAACAGAAAGTGGTGACAGAACAACAAAACACTTGCTCAAAAACAAACCGTGATTACAGTGCTTTCGAAATTGCCTGCAGCAATTTACAGTCTGCCTCGTCTTTCAATTTGTTTTTGAAATCAGGCTCAGCTTTTGATTTACATGATGTGTTTGAATGCATCTGTCTGGTCTGTAGGTCTATAAACACATGCTCCTGATGCTGGAGCATGGGTGGAGAGCATACACTTTCACATGTATAGAGATGTGTACATGCAACCCTATTGGGGGAAGTGAAGGGTTTAATTTTGGAAAGTGTAATGGAAAACAAGACAGACAAAAGCTCCAATGACATCAGGGTCAAAATGAAGCAGAGATGACCTTTTTCACAACTTTGAGGCAACAGAAACCAGTTTAATAATTTGGTGACTCACACACAAACTGATCAAATAAAAACAAAGAGCACTTAAGCAGGCTGCAGCCAAGTCCATTTTAGGATTTGGTATTCTTTCAAGTCATCATTATATATATGTTTGAAACATGCCTGAGTCATTTTCAAAGTGGGACTAAAATATAAATTCCCAAAAAGGCCTAATATAAAAACATGTTTTATGCAAAGATTTAAAAACAGGTACAGAGTTTGCCAGCCTAATGTCTTTTGGTAGATAGTTCCAGAGCTTAGGGCCTCTGATGGAAGATGCCTGGTCGCCCCTGGTTACCAGCCTTGACCTAGGAAAAACTAATGAAGGTGCTCTTGCAGATGTGAGAGCCCGGCCACTCTCCAGTTCCCAACACAAGTCTATAGACTGAGCTCCTGTAAGTCCAAGGTGTTTTTTGTCTGTTTAAGTCATGTTTATTTGTATAGGGACAAGTAAACCGTTGCCACACTCTACAGCATTTATAGCCCAAGCTACTCTGCAATGCCCGTCCCTAGATGTCCCTTTAAAATACATAAAACACAACAATAGATACACAACAGATATAAAACAATACCAAACAAGCACAACAATAAACAAACAGAGCAGTACAGGATTCAAATTGTCATACAATGAAACAAAGTAAAACAGGAAGAGCAAGATCATACATGACTACAAGACTGAGTCCTC